GTGAAAAGCCCTCTATTAGATTTATTTCTGAATTGTTCAAAGATGGCAGCTAGGATGTGACAGGAAAGGCCTAGCTGATGGTCCTCCGCAGCCTCTGTGAATTAGCTGGACCTGCTGGAAATGGAAGGGCCGGAAAGGACTGCGCCAGGGCTGCGAGCGAGGGGCGGAGCAGCCACAGAGACACCTGTGCGTGCAGGTGTCACACCTGCGCAGCCCCCTCGGGAACACCTGTGGCTCCGGCTCCTGAGGCAGAATCTGTTCCCTATTAACTCATTGGGTATCAAGATCCCCGCATGTCCCCGGCGAGGATGATGTCTCTAAACTGGCTGCTGAACCTGAAAGGCCCCACTGATTTGGGGCTGGGAATGGGGGGAGGGGGGGTGAACACATCGGGGTGTTGCGGCTTTGGGAGCCTTCGGAAGCTGGGCCGAGCACGCCTAGGCTCATGCCCCTGAACAGTCGAAGCTTTGTCAAAGTATCGTTTTCTAAAACGTAAGACGCTCCAGAGAGTTAAAAAATTTCAAAAGTAACATTGTCTCAAGAGGTTAAAAACACAGTGTAACAAAGTAAGCGAGGCTCAAATGGTTACTTAGGTGGCTAGGGAGGGAGCGGGTGGCTGGGTCTAGCCTGTCACAAGGTAATTTTGAGAGACTCCGAGACCTATTTTTTCCTATAAACTGAAATGCAGAAGAGGTTAGGCCCTGTGCTCTGAGGTTTCCTTTCCCACCAGACAAATCACTTGCCTCTCTCCGGGATGAACATCATTTGGAAATAATCGGTCTTCCACAGGTTGCCGCGCGCACGGAGTCTGGGCCCCAATCGATGCTGAGTCTTCCGAAGCTCCCTCTCCCCAGGGGCTCCTGTGACATTTTGGGGGGCTTGGCAAATGTCCAAGCATGACTGGAAAGGGCAGGCAGTCGTTTTCTGGCCTTATTTCCAAACTGTGCGTAGTTTCTCTGAGTAGGTTGTGTTCTTTACGTCCCACAGAGGCAGCCGGGATGATGGAAGTTAGCAGGCTGCAGAGTAGGGCATGGTGACCGGGGTGACCTGGGGTGACCTGGGGTGACTGGGGTGACCGGGGCAATGAGGGGTGTGCATGGGCAGGATGGCTGGTTGCCAGGGTATCTGCTCGGTGGTTCTTGGACTCCGGAGGTATAGAAACCTGTGTTTGAGAGTGTCCACGAAGCCTCGGTTCTGTGCGTTATCGGGAACGCTTTTTGGAATATGGAATGTCTAGGATCTCTCCATCTAAGAAAATCAGAAAATACCCTAAAAAGGCAGCCCCAGTATATTCTGGACCTGCGTCTTGCTTCAGGCCATTTTCGAGTTCTTTAAAAACCCTCGCCTCTGTGCTGTGGAGGGTTTATTTGGTAGAGTTACGGCGTCAGTCTCTCCATGAAAACGCCTCCCCTGGGGGACTCGGCCACTCTATCGCCGTGCCTGTAGCTGCAGCCTGAGCAGGATGTGGGAGACTCGGGGAGGGAGGGAGGGAGGGAGAGAGGGGGGCTCTCCCCGAAGGTGCGGAGAAGCAAACGCTCACAGGGGAAGAAAAACAGAATCAGAAAGCAAGGCCAGCTCCTTGGGGGTCGCACTGCTCTACACCTGACCCGAGATGCCCGAGATGCAGCCACCAGGCAGCCGCCGAAATCAACCTGAGCCCCAGAGAGACCCGCCGCTGCTT